CAACGAAAGTGGCGTTATCCATTTATTACTTTCTAGTTCATAGTTGTATAGTTGTTCATTTCATTCCTTTACTTTCTAGCTTAATGCTAGGGACTAGCAATGTTTAAGTTTGGGGGTGTGATGAGTACTGAAAAGTGCGTATTTAAACCCCTTAAGCTTAGTTATTCTAGAACCTTTATCTATCTTATTTTACCTTTTTGTATTGATTTCGAGTTACTTCCATTTTCAGGTACTTATCCCCAAAATAAGCTAACTCAGCCAAATAAGAGCATAATTGAAGCAATTCTAGGATTAATCAAAGAAAGGAGCAAAGTAGAGCAAAAGGAAGCAAATGGTGAAATTTCAGCAACTTCGATCGATCTCAACAAAAGTTCGATCGATCCAACTTTCATCGATCTCAGCACTTCAAGATAGATCCGAGCCATGTTTGTCCCCGTTTAAAGATCTCAAAAGTTCGATCGATCCTACTTCCTTCTTCGATCGATCAAACATTCTTGTCCTTATCCAAATGATTGATCTTATCCAGTTGTATCACCCTACCAACCACTTTTATCCTTTTCCCAAAAATATCTTCAAAATATCTCAGATTTGTTTGTATCCAAAAAGGCACCGCCATTGAGGATCAATCCAACTTCAGTTCGATAGATCTCAACCATGTTCGATCGATCCAAGTCCAAGGTTCGATCGATCGAACTTCCTCCAGTGCGAAAAAGTTAAATTTCCAGCTCACAAAAGTTGTCCTTTATCCAATCATTGGGGAATATTTGCTGTACGACCCCAGCTCATTTTGGGTGTCATTTGACCTACCTATATAAGGATAAGGATTACTTTTTGTATGAGAGGGGAAGAGGATAGTAGAACATAGAGGATCATATTGTATTATCTTATATTATACCATACCTTAGAGAACTCTTAGGGAGGAAGAAAAGAAGGGGAGGAGGCTAGAGACACCATTGGAGACTCTTCATCAAGGAGCAGATTTCTTCCATAGAGCTTGCCCTTGAGGGTTGGAGGACATCATCCATAAGTGGCTAAAGATCCTTTTGGGGCTAGAGTTAGCCCTAAGCATGCTTTCTACTTCTTGATTTATGTATTTTTTAGGAGATTTGTATTGTAATTCATGTCTTGACACTTTTATATATATAGATCTTGTTTCTTCAATGATTTATATGGTTTAATGCTTCCAATTGATCATTTCATTTTATCCATATGTCTATGTATGCTAGAATAGACGTTCATGTGTTTGTCTCTATTTCTTGTGTTATTGATGTTGTCTATGTGTGTTGATACTATAGATCTAGAGATTGTTAAGACTTAGTACTTAATGTCATGTTCTTATGGTTTATTTGATGGTTCATACTCATTTCTTGATGGATTGTGCCTCTCCTTTAGTTTAATTAGTTTAATTTTATGTCATTAGCTTAGTTGTAGTGTATTTGTTAAATGGGAGGACAATCCATACTTGTTGTTGATGTTCCATACTTATGAAAAGCAAGTAACATGTATCTCTAACCTTATGATATGTTTGGATTGTGAGCGTAAAGAAAGGATTAATGGCTTAATTTGATATGTTGTGCTATCCACCATGTTGTTTAGACAATATATGCCTAATTTGTCATACATGCTTGTTGAAATAACCACACACACACACACTTTATTGTAATACATGTTCTTCCCCTCATTAATCATTCATTAAAGGTGTAGAAAAGCTATGCTTAGTGGTGATCTCTAAACCCCAAGATCTCTCTCTATCTTTTATTCTCTCTATTGCATTATTGCTTACTTTAGTTTAATTTACATATAGTTTAATTCAACCAACCAACCACTATTTTGATCACTCGACCTACTAATCCTAATTTTGATTCCTCAAGCCAGTACGACAACTCAATCCCTTGGGACGATCCCTTCTCACTCATACTACATAGTATAGGTGTTAAGCGATTTATAAATTTAAATTATGGTGCCCACTTGACACTAATTTCCAAACTCAAAGTTTTGTGCGATCACCGAGAAGACACCACATGTAATCTTTGATTTCGGTGAATTATTTCTCTATTATTTGACTCCACTATGTCTTAATTACATGATTTTGCTTGTGGTTATATGGGCTATGTGTAACAATCATGCTAGTTGTATTCTTGTATGAGAAATTAGTGCTATAAACATGTTTTAATTGAAATTATATGAAAAAGCATGCTAAGTTTAAATTCCCTATATGCCTAGAATGTTATATGTTATGAATTTGAGTTTGATTTTTGTTGAAGCTTTTGAGTTAATTATTTTATTTTATTTCATTTTGTATGCAAGAATGATATATATAAAATATGTGAAAATTGATATTGACATGACATGGTAAGACGTGATGCATTCATGTTTGGCATTGGGCAGAAAATGGAAAATTTGATTTGAAAATAAAAGAAATGATTTTTGGGGAAATGATTTTTTTTTTTATGAAAGGGTTTTCGAAAAACTCGGCCACCTAGGAGTTGCCTAAGGACCGTGGGGTTAATGTGACCTAGGGTGAACTAGGGAGACAACCCTAGCGTGGTTGAGTTAACTGGGTCCCAAATGATGCACTGGAGTTGCCTTGTGGTCAGGGACAGTTAGCCAATCCTTCTCTCTTGCCGCCATGGGACGGGTTGCATTAACGGTTTGGTGATGATGGTAGAAATAGTTTTGTAAAGGGGGAGTGACATTGCATGTCATTGCATCCCATCGCACGACATAATTTAAGTATAACTTGGATTGTCGAATCTGTTGCTATGTTTATTCTGGTATGGTATGATCCCGCTTCTTTATTTTTCTATTCATTGTGTGGATTCACGGAGTCACAAGAGGTGTGTCTTAGGCATCACCTATTGAGCATTTTGCTCACCCCTTATATTTAACAATTTTCAGGACACGGAAGGAAAGTGGCGGATGACGCTCCTCCACAGGGTTCGATGGGTTAGTAGACCGTTTTGACATACTTTGTTGCTATGATCTCATTATTATTTGTTTATTTATTTATTTATTATTATTATTATTATTTTTATAAACCCAAGAATGACTTGTATATTATGTAAGTATTGATATAGGAAATGACGGTAGTGTCCTTAGTTGACCTCGAGTTCGGATCGTTACAAAAGTATATATGTTTATTCATGTACATATATATTTAGCCCATTATAGCTATGTCTCTTCTGCACATCTTCGTTTGGAATTTAAATCAACTTTATTTTTCATTCATTTTCTATTTTGTCTTATCTATGTTTTTCTTATAACAGAGATGAAATTATTGAAATTGGTCACGTTGTTTGTTGTTGTTTTATTTGCAATTTTGTATTTATACATACATGTTTGTTATTAGTAAAATGAATGTGCAAGGTTCTATTAATTATATTTTGAATATATATATTATTTTATAGGCGTATCCCCGCCGTTTCCGTGTCCAATTTTTTTTTAAATTTGCCATATCGCTATATCCGTGTCGTACCCGTATCCGTGCTTCATAGATTCTAAGCATAATCCAGAATTTATAGAGAAATTAGTAGGGAAATAGAACTTTGAAACCATCAATGCATAAACTTGCTTTTTGCAGATTTTTAGATGCTTAATGTTCTTATATATATTACAGTTCTGAACCTACTAAAAGTAAATTACTTTTTAGTAGACTCCAGAAGGGTTCAAGAACAGCTAATCCATATGAAGTTGTAAAAACATGGACGGGTAATTTAGGAAAAAAAAAAAAACATGAACGGGTAGTCATTTTGTTATTTCGCCTATTAAAGATAGAAAAATTATTGATAAAATATCCACATTTTCAACGGATTCCATGTAGATAGAGAGCTCTGTCAATTAGCTTGAATTATGGCAAGTAAAACTGGCCAACACTAGATCTCAAATTACACAAAAACAAAATTTAGAGTGGATGTATCCAACAACAAAACGAGATATAACAGCAAATATATTTACTGCTAAAAGTAATAAAAACTGCTAGATTTGGTTCTAACACATCAAAGATTTATAACAACAGTTGTGACTGCTACCTAAAGTTCAACACCTATATCGAAGCACTCATGATTCAAACATGACTTCTGTATATATTTAGCATCTCCACATGAGGTAATTATATCAAAAGATCAAACAAGCTTTAATTTTACAGAAACAAGACTATCATATGATACAAAAGAAATTTCAGAAGAGAGAGATATCTAATAATTTATATGGATATGAATGAGGTCGTTCGCCACACAAACTCTTCTTCCAAACTACTACTACAGTTTACTTTAATTTCTTCACTTAACTGACAAATTGCTCCGACACCATAGTAGTTCTGAACAAAGCTTCTTCAAACTTTTGAGGATTCGTTGTCTGGGTATGCTTCCATTGAGAACCTCCTTTTCTTCCCATCTGTTCTTCTACACCATCAAGTCTTGTATGATACAAAAGAAATTGGTGTTCTGCAGGAGGTTCTTTTATGTACACTAGTTGTGGTCTGCTTTTATGCCAAAACCTGTCTGAAGGCAACCCCACCCAACTGCAAAAACAAGACATATACTTCCTTTAAGACTGCTATTTTCTCAGTATTTAAGTTGCTCGTCTTTCGAGCAATGTTGTCCATGAGCATCATAATGTGTGAATACTTTCACTCATAACTGTCCCTCAACAATTAGTTTTATGCACTTAAAATCTCATGGTTTGACGGATTGCTGAAAATGATGGGAATTTAGTAGCAGGGTTTTTTCTAACACTGCCAAAAACCATTCAAGCAGTTTGAGACTTTTTATTGAAATGATACAATGTTCTTAATTGTCGTTGCTTTAGAACTTCATATGTTGAGTGACAGAGAGAGTGAAAGAAGAGATTACCAGGTACCTGAATGATATTAGAGACCGAATCAGTCTCAAAAGGCTTGAGTAGGTATTGGGATTTTTGATGAGCTTCCTCCAAATCATGATAAGAATGAGCCTTGTCATGACACTAGCATGTGGTGTCTGTTGCTTCTTTTCTGCATCTCCTTCCATGTCCACCTTCTTCAGGCTTGTAAAGGGAGAACCACTTGCTGTAAATTTCGAACCATCCTCTATTTCAATCTCCCTATCTCCATTGATTTTCCCAGCAGGAGTTTCCATCAAATATATCATGCATACCTGTATATCAAGATTGAATACATGCATAAACAAAAGGTAGGAACTAAAAAATAAAGGTTATCATCTAGGATGTAAACAGTGATAATATTCCTTATGGAATTGTTACCATGTGAAAAATCTTATAGACAGAGAAATTAGGCAGTAAGCATACTAGTGACCATTTATACTGATTTGATTCAGAACGACATGAAGACAGATATGTATGTTTTCTTGTACAGTGAGGATGAATTTTGTGAAGAGAGAGAAGTTCAGTGTGTTTGAACAATAATTTTAGGGCGTGTTAATACAATTCCATTTCAATGAAAACATGAAAAAAGATCAAGAATGTGCATGTGATGAGAACAACATGATTGTTGTTAGCACCAGCTTTTTCACAATGTGCCCCTGGAAGTACTGAAACCAAATTGTTCCAACATCCACAGCACAGACTACCAAGCTCAGTCATATAATATGGGGATAAACACCAAAACAACCTTAATTCCAACTGCCTAAATATCAGTGTTCGACATAATCCTGCAATGATAATTCATCAATTACCTGGAAAAGGAACAGAGAAACAAATAAAAGTTAGCAATCAATTAAGGAAAAAAAACTATCATACAAGGAGTCAAGGACAACATAGATTAGCAAAAAAAGATAATTACCATGACATCAGATTGCCTGATATACACTAAAATCTGACATCCTGCAATTTTGTTCTCAACGCCGACCTTCTCTGATGTTTGAAATGTCACGACCCGCCCAATCTGTGTAGATACTGTTTGCTTTGCACACTCTCCATGCTCACAGTTTTCAAAACGCGTCTACATAGTTGGGAGGTGTCCACACTAGGCGATGTGGGACATCACAATCACCCATTTCCGGTCTTGGTGCTCTCTAATACCATTTTTCACAATTGGCCCCGCACCATGTGGATATTCTCCACTCTGCATACCATTTGTCACAACCCGCTCCGCACCATGTAGATTTTGTTCACTTTGCACACTCTCCTCACGGTGCTCACAGTTTTCCTCAAAAGGCGTCTACATAGTTAAGGGTTGTCCACACGTATAAGTCTCAGCAACTTCTCCCCTCCGGATACATGGAATGTCAAACGAAATGTCTGGTAATTTTCCTAGTGACTTGCATCCAGAAATGTCCAAGACTTCTAAAAGTTTCAGTTCTTCAAGTCCTCGAATCTCACTAAGTTTCTCACAGTTAGAAAGTTGCAATACCCTTAAATTTGTTAGTCTAGACAGATCAGGTATCCTCTGCAATTTCTCACAGTTAGAAAGTTGTAATCCCCTTAAATTTGTTAGTCTAGACAGATCAGGTATCCTCTTCAATGCCATGCACGATGACAAGTCCAAATTTTTTAAGAGTTCCAGTTTTTCAAGTCCCCAAATCTCACTAAGTTTCTCACAGTTACAAAGTCGCAACTCCACTAAATTTGTTAGTCTCGACAGATCAGGTATCATCTCCAAGGCTGTGCACCATGACAAGTTCAGCAATGTTAATAGTTTCAGTTCCTCAAATCCACCAATCCCACTTAACTTCTCACCATAACAAAGTTGTAATTCCCTTAAATTTGTAAGTCTCGACAGATCAGGTAACCTCTCCAAGGCCCTGCACATTGACAAGTCCAAGAATCTTAACAATTTCAATTCTTCAAGTCCCAAGATCTTATTAAGTTTCTCACACTTGAAAAGTGCCAATACCTCTAAATTTGTTAGTCTCGACAGATCAGGTATCCTCTCCAAGGCTGTGCAATATGACAAGTTCAGTATCTTCAAGGATTCCAATCTGTCGAGGCCCCTAATTTCCTTCAGCTTGTAGGATTGCTCAGCATATAATTTCCTTAACTTCTTTAAGTTTGAAAGATCTGGTAATGTTTCTAACGATTCACATTCACTTACATCCAAATCTATTAGGAGTTCTAATCTTCCAAGGCCTTGAATCTCCATTAACCCTGAACACCCTTTAAGTTTCAGTTCGGATAAGTTTTTCAAATTTGGCAGATATGGAAACCTCTTTATTGATAGACAATGTTCAAGACGGAGTATGATTAGACTTGAGGGAAGAGTTGAAAGGCATTGAAGTTCTATACAATTTCGAATAGTGAGTTCTGTAAGCTGAGAAAGTGCACCAAGCTCCATTGGCAGGCTGGTAATGTGAATTTTTTCCAAGGTCAAGGTCTCCAGTTTGACCAACTTCCCAATATCTTCAGGAATTTTTAACAGCTTAGAGCATAAAAAAAATGCCAACTCCTTTAAGTTTACCAGGCTAGGAAGGTTTGGAAATTCCTTTGACATGCAAGTGAATTTTAGACTCACTAGACTAGAGGGAAGCTCTGGAAGAAACTGAAGCTTTTTGCAACCCTGTAAATCAAGGGTGTGGAGGTGAGAAAGCTCACAAATCCTTGTTGGTAGGCTATGGATATTTGTCTCATTTAGTATTAAGATTCTCAGAGAGGATAGTCTCTCAATACTACTGGGAATTTCGCCTTCTAAATTGAGACAACCCAAGGCATCTAACTCTTCAAGTTTCAGTAACATTCCAATGGCACTAGGTAACTTCACTATCGAAGAAAAAACAATATCAAGAATTCTCAAATGTTTTAGGTTGCCAATGGTATCAGGTAATTCTGTAAATATTGCTCCTGACAAGCGCAACTCAATTAATGATTCTAATTTCCCAATGGAGTCTGGAATTTTTTTTAATTTGCAGTACCTTAGTGACAAGCGTCGCAATTTCACTAGTGAACCAATTGAGTCTGGTAGTTCAGTGATATGGGAATAATCAAATGTAAGGTCTGACATAGATTTTAGGTCACCAATTGAGGTAGGAATTTGAGTCAATGACCCACAATGAGTGGCACTAAGAGTTTCAAGCTTCTTCATAACACCTCTACCAATAGGGACTTCTTGTATACTAGTATCATCGATGAGGAGCTCTGTTAAGGCTTCCCCGGAATCAAATTCCAGAGGCAGCCTGTTGAGTTTATAACATTTCTTCACATTTAAGAAAACAAGACTCTTGAGATACCCAACTGATGGGTCAATATGAACCAAACTCTCACAGCTTTCAAGAATCAATCTTTCTAAAGTTGCATATGCAGAGAAGTCAGGAGTTCTAACCATGTAAATGCAACCTGTGAGATTTAGAACTTTCAACTTTCTTGCAATCTGCCAAATAAGGAAAAAGAGAATTGCTTAGAATCAATTGCAAAGAATTATGTGAGGAGACACACGAAACAAAAGCAGAGAAATTAATGAAACCTTGATATGATTCCAACCCTCCCAGGCTTCTGTGACATCGCTCCATGATAAATCAAGGATGACCAGATTCTTAAGATGAAAATTCGTTGGTCTAAAAATTTCAGGGCATCCATACCAGCAAAGCCATCTTAACTTGGAAAGAAGACCCTTAAAATCTCCAACTAGGTTTGCATAGTCCATTTGAAGGAACCTTAGATTAGATAGGTTTGCAAATTCATCATTTGTAAGAGAGCATGCCTGTGACTCTAATTCAAAGTCCGCACAGATAGCTTCAATCTTTCTTGTTCCCTGCCAAAAGAGAACCTTTAGATAAATAAATAAATATATATATATACACTAATGCTATAATCACTCTATTTGAGGAAATTCCAGTTATTATTTAAACTTTTGAGCAGGGATGGCTCAATTTAAACTGAGGTCTAAGGCAATACAAGAAAATATTCATGTAGTAGTATAACTAATATTAATTAACTGTCTATGTTTTTTAACAAAATTATATATATACCATTATTTTTGCTTTTTGAGATGCAGAATTACTAATTTTGTTAGAAAATTTGGTTGTTAATTTACTAAAAAAAAATTATTATTATTATTTTTTTTCTAATACTTTTTTTATCATTATAAGAGCTCCTTATTTTTTAAAATGCAATTAATTGCCAAACTCTTTCTTTTTAGAGAATCTTAATAATCCCACGTCACATTTTGAAGTAAACATATTGATAGATAAACTATAGTAATTAGTAAGACCCAAAAAAAAAAAAAAATGGAAAAGAAGAATTAAAGAACAATAAAACAGGCCTTATGCAAATTAGTAAAAAGCCTTAAAAGATTTCAGGTGTTAGTAGAAGTTTTTGAATTTCTTAAAAATTCCTCATCTCTTTTATAACTTCAAGGAATTTATTAATTTAAGAATGCCATATTTTTTCACTTAGAAAAGATAAATATATTTATCTAGTCTACTCAATCACATCAAAAACGTGAGAAGTAGTGTAGAAGGCATGAGTTTGAAAGATATAACTGAACCATATGTACAGGAAAATAAAAAAACACGAGAGGAGGAGAAATTGCTACAGATTCTTAACATTAAAACTGCAAAAATGGGCCTAAGTAGAGAGAGAATGTATACTAATCGGTGACAAAATCTATGGTGTGGCCTACTTTTTAAAAGACTATAATGAGATATTTCAGTTGAGGGGCCTTAGGCAGCCGCCTAATTGGCCAGGTGATTGAATCAACACTGCTCTGGAGTAGTTCATGCATATTTGTGTTAGTAAGTGACAAGAAATTAGGGCTTAATAAGGGGAATCTATTCATGAAGGAGTTGGATCTTACTGAATGACTCTTCAATATGTCGTAGGCTTCCTCATGAAACCACACCCTACTACGCTCCCCCGGCTCCTTAAAATTTTCTTGACGTACAATATCCCTACCAAGGTCTCTAAGCTGATCATGCATCATTAGCTCATTGTTATCTCCAATTTTCACCAATGACAGGCGAAGAAGAACTCCAATCTCTCTTTTGGGATAAAAACGGCAGTCATCCCACATGTGGAAAGCAATTCTTCTATCCACTCCAGTGAAAAGACATGCAATATCAAGAAATATCTGTTTTTGTTCATATTCTAATACTTCGTAACTTATTCTCAGCTTCTTCTGCACTTGGCCATTCGGTATTCTTTTCAACTTCTCTAATGTATCTTCCCATTCCTCTTTATTAATGCCAAAAAAAAGAGAACCAATAATCTCAAGAGCCAAAGGCAAACCTCCAGTAGTGGACACAACATCTCTAGAGAGTATATCATAGTCTTCTGGGGGATGGTCCTTTCTAAAAGCATACCTGCTGAAAAGTCGTAGAGATTGATTAGAATCCAATTCCTCTGGTTCATAAGTCCAATTAACCTCAGTCAGATTTAGAATATGTTTGTCTCTAGTTGTGACAATTATCCTACTTCCTGAACCAAACCAATCACACTTTCCCACAAGTGCATCAAGATGAATTCTTTGATCGACGTCATCAACGACAATAAGAACTTTCTTCCCATAAAATCTATCTTTGATTACATTAATACCTTCATCCACAGTACTAATGTCAGAGCATCTCCGTTTTAAGATGGTAGATATAAGTTGAATTTGCAAACTAACAAGGCCATTTTGTTGGTGTGCCGTTTCTCTAACATCTGCAAGAAAGCAACAGAATTCAAAATGTTGGGAGAGTTGGTTGTAGATGACCTTGGCAATAGTGGTCTTGCCAATTCCTCCCATACCATGGATTCCCACAATCCTTACATCATTGGAATTAACCCTCAACAATTTCATCATTTCTTCTACATTATAATCAATTCCAACTAGGTTCTCATTTACAACCAATGAGTTCTTTTTCAGCTCTCCCCATACCTTTGAAACAACAATCTTTACCAGTTTTCCTTGATGCCTGCCAAACATAATTGATGTCACATATATGTATATGGGAAGAACGATAAATATAAATGGCCTCCTTAATTTAAATTTTCAACAGTAGTTTTCTATTCTTAGGAAACTGAAAAATAGAAAGTATTTTCAAAATTCATTTGATTAACAAGTTGTAAAAAATTGTTGTTTGTAAACTAAGTTAAACTAGTGCCTAATTCCAGAGAACTGAACCAAACAAGGTTTATAGTTGGTTCTAATATGGAAAATTTACATTTGAGGAAAATAATCATTAAATTTTTATTTTTATTTTCAAAGTTCAAGCAAATGCATGTGCATCCACAAGGTGAAGGTTGAACACTCAAGCTCCCCTTCGGGAATACAGATCATACTATCTGAGGTAATGCCCAATGGTAAATAATAATAAAGATTTAAATAGCAGAGTCAATAAACACACACACACACAAATATACACAATTACCCATCAGCAACTTTGTTCACTTCCCATCCCTTCAATTTTCCAACCTCCTTCAGTGCCTCCTTCCACCCCTCCACAGTAGCACTATCAAAATGCTTCTTGTGTTGCCGGAAGGCCTTTTTGTAACTCCCTGTCTGGTGGCGCACATTGGATGGTTCAACGTCGTAAAAAATGGGTAATATGATTTGCCCCAAAGTCCTCTTACACTCAACCATCTTGGTGAGCTCAAGCAGGCACCACTTACTTGAAGCATAGCCTTTGGAAAAGACGGGGATGGATATCTTTGACTGCTCTATTGCCTTGAGAAGATCTTCTCTCCAATGCGAAGTTCATTGTCATCTCTAAACGTGTGAATTCCTACGTCCACAAGGTCATTGTAGAGGTAGTCACTGAAGGTGGTACGAGTGTCTTTGCCTCTAAAACTCAAGAACACTTCATAGTCCCATCCTGCAGCAGGCGGAGAGGTGGACAATGAAGTGATCAAGGGTGCTAATGAAATGTTCTCTGTATTCATTTCAAATGTGTGAGAGGCTTAGTGTTCTGTTCTCGTTAGTTAGGATTGAAAATTATGAGAACCAAATTACCAGTGTGGTGGGCGTTGAAGAAATGAATTCTTGAATTTCTTAATTTATTGATTCATGATAGTGATATGCAACCCAACTCTTTCTGACTTCGTCGTGTGACTTTGTCGTCATGGCAGATAATGCAACCTAACACACAAGTATAAAGAATAAAGAAACAAAGAAAGGAACAGTGTTATTTACCAGAATAGCCCTAGGAAGGGAAAGGGTTTTCCTTGTAACTTCATTCCTTCCTCTGAAGTAAGCTTCCTCCAAAGTCACACCTCAATACCTACATATAGAAATACAAAATATACACGTATAAAAATATAGAGAGAGAAATGAGAGAGAGAAATGAGGATAAAAGAGAGAATTTAGCAGTTGGTTTGCGCTTGAAGTAGTGAAGAACCAGTTCCTCTCCATCGTATTTGATGCAGCAAGGGAGCTGATGAATCCGCCCCGTCAGATGACCATGTTTCCGACGGATCTCTGAACCTCTATCCCCATCCATGGACTTTACTCACAAGATCACCAATTTTAAGCTCCATTGAATAAGCCCCAATTTTGTATTTTGGGTGACATTTGGCTTGTTTGGATGATGGAATTGGAAGGCAAAAAAGAAAAGAAAGAAAGGAATACTGATTTTTATGTTTGGTTTGTTAATAAAAAAAAATATAATGATTTGTTTTTGGGTAGGGAAAAGGTGGTTACAATTCAAAAAAAAAAAAAAGAAAAAAAAGTCAAAGATTGAAGAATTCCAACTCTTCTGAAGGTGGCATAGTCAGCAGGAAACACACGCTTTGAAATTTTGATGAAAAAAATAATTTGTTATTCGGTAGGTAGGAAGAGTTTACATATCAATTTTACTATTTATTAAAAAAAATTATCCTCATATTCAATTTATGTTTAATTGTTTTGTCGAGAGTCGGTAATATCCTCCAAAAAGGAATTTGACATCTTTAACCTCTTGTAAGCATTCACAATTTATAGCGAAATTAATAGAGAAGTTATAAGAAACCATCAATTCATAAACTCCCATTTGAGATACTAATGAAATGTTCAAGGCTCAATGATCAGTTACTGTTAAGTTTCAGGGCTTGGAAAGATGAAAATGATGATAACCTTGTGAATGGGGGCGTTGAAGAAATGATTCATGATAGTGATACATATATATATTACCATCATGATTGCAATATTCAACGCAACTCTTTTTGACTGGGGAGTGGTTTGGCAAAGGGCATCCTTATTGTTTTTGTGTGTGGGCCCTATCTCTTGGGCTTGGCCTTGTTAGTTGCGTCTGCTTGTGGCCTTTCCCAATCGATACAATATTTTCTCATTCATCGTCGTCATAAAATATAATATAAATAATAATAAATAAATAAAAGAAATCATGTTATTTACCAGAATAGCCCTAAGGAAGAAAACAAAGGGTTCTTTCTTGTAACTTCCTTCCTCTAACTGAGAGGATCCGGCTCCTCCTCTACGGCTGACTGACGTGGGTCTGTTGAGGTCCGCTGAGAGAGAAAAAGTAGATCTTAGAGCGATTGAATCATTTTGAATTTGTGCTTGGTTGATGAGAATTTGAGGGTTTGGCTATGATGATTAAGGGTGTAGAGGGAGGATTTGATTAGAAATTGTGAGATTGATGGGGATGTCTTTGGAGGATTGAACAAGGGAAGAGAAAATGGGTATATTGGGTTGAAATGTAATATTTGTTACATGAATTTCAAAAAAAACACAAAAATATATACACCAAAACATGTTTAGTAATGTCAAATATTATTGCACGATTTTTGGAAGCAAAATACTGAAAACACTTAAAAATGTTGCCAGAAAATTGATAGCAAAAATAAAAAAACTATGTTCCGTAATTGACATGAACAGTAACAGTTTTGTATAATTTCAGTCAATATATATACAACTGTGTAGTGTATTACGAGTAATATTGTAAGTCCAAAAAATTATACAAACTCACAAATGTACAATATACAAGGCTGAGGAAATTAAGCACACTAGTATACTTCAGATCTGCCATATTAACCAAAGATAATTGAAGAGCAGCAGCATCATCCAATAACACCACCAAAGGAAATTAACTAAAGAGCACCACAGCATCAAAATTTGATAAAAGGCAGTGAAGAGGAGGACAAGTCGAATGACACCAACACAGAGTCGACAGGCAGCACCCAACCCTCACAGCATCAACAATCAAGTGCACCAACGATGGATGGGCAGTGACGGCAACCAAATCTAGGAAACGAAATCAAAATTGGTTAAGCAACCAAAAAAACCACTCAGCCATAGCATAGCCATTAGGAAACGAAAGCAAGCATTCATTTAGAGATCTGTGATCAATCTCACCCAAATTGAACAAACACTTGTCCGAAATTTCGAACTATCCTCTATATGCATTCCTGTATATAAACTATTATTAATATATATCTAAAATTAATAAATATCAAATTTTCTGCATATTAGTACTTGATAAGTAAAATGAGAAATTTTTTTGACTTTAATATGAGCCAAAAAATTCTGTATCCAAACAACTTTAAGAAAGAAAACGTCTTACGAAAACATTTTGATTCCTTTAAAGCTTTGAAGATTGTTCTTTAACACATGACCTCAAACCCTAACCAATAAACCAACTAAAATATCAAAATAATCAATTCATCGTTGTGTTGCAAAGGTATTAGAATACCTCGAGCGAAGATTGTCTCTCTATGTTCAGAGATTGATTGAATGCATGAAATGAAGCCCTAACAGATTAATGGCCTCTGGAAGTTGAAGAGATTATAGAATTGATCTTTCATTCATTCTTTTGGCATGCATGTGTGAATTTGGAGCTTCAATTGTGAAATTGAGCCCTAAAATCAACAAGAATTATAGAACGATGTCTCCATTACTCCATTCACACTTCAAACTGAGCCATAGTCTCGAAATCACCTCAAAGTAGAACGCTGAAATGAAAACACACAAAGAGAACAGAGAAACAATCACAGTTACAATCAATTAAGGGGGAAAAAACCATCATACGAAGGCAAAATAGATTGGCAGAAAATAGATAATTACCATAACATCCACCAATTTTACCAGTGACTTGCGTGCTCTCCACCCTTAACAAAACAGCCATTTGGAAGGTCCGGTAATTTTCCTAGTGAAGTGCCTCCAGAAATGTCCAATGTCCTTAACTTTGTTAGTTTGGACAAATCAGGTATCCTCTCCAAGAAACAGCTTGATAAGTTCAGCTCCTTCAAGGATTTCAAAGCCTCAAGACCCTCGATCTCATGTAGCTTCTCGCAGTCATGGAGATTTAATCCTTCCAGCTTTTCCAATTTGGATAGATCAGGCAATCTTTCCAAGGATGTGCAACTTTTCATATTCAAATCTTTCAAGGATTCCAATCTATCAAGGCCCGTAATTTCATTCAGATCAATGCAATCTGTAATAATTAATTTCCTTAAATTTGTTAGTCTTGACAGATCAGGTATCCTCTTCAAGGCCTTGTACCTTGATAAGTTTAGCTCCTTCAAGGATTTCAAAGCCTCAAAACCCTCAATCTCATGTAGGTTATAGCAGCGACCTAAATATAATTCTATTAGGAGTTCTAATCTTCCAAGGCCAGGAATCTCCCTTAATTTTGAACACTCTAAAACACGTAGTCTTGATAAGTTTTTCAAATTTGACAGATCTGGCAACCTCTTCATTGACTCAATTGCTATAACATCTAGTGAGTTTAGACTTGAGGGAAGAGCTGGAAGGCATTGAAGTCGTCTACAATTTTCTACATTGAGAGACGTAAGACTTGGGGGAAGAGCTGGAATGCATTGAAGTTGTTTACATTTATATACATTGAGAGACGTAAGACTTGAGGGAAGAGTTGGAAGGCATTGAAGTTGTCCACAAACGCGTACAGTGAGAGACGTAAGACTTGAGGGAAGTGTTGGAAGGCATTGAAGTTGTTCACAATCATCTACATTGAGAAATGTAAGCTGAGAAAGGGCACCAATACCTTCAGGAATTTTTAACAGCTTATAGCATTCAATAATTGCCAACTCCTATAGGTTCACCAGGCTACAAAGGTCTAGAAATGTCTGCATTGACCTGCAAGTGACTTTTAGAAACACTAGACTAGAGGGAAGGTCTGGGACAAACTCAAGATTTTCGCAATACCCTAAATAAAGGGTTTGGAGGTTAGAAAGCCCACAAATGCTTGTTGGTAGATGACAGATGCGTGTTGAATCTAATCTTAAGATTCTCAGAGAGGATAGTCCCCCAAAATTACTGGGAATTTCGCCTACCAAACTGGAACAACGCGAGGCATGTAACTCTTCAAGTTTCAGTAACATTCCGATGGTACTAGGTAACTTCACTATCAAACCAGATTCCATCTTAAGAATTCTCAAACGATTTAGGTTGCCAATAGTATCTGGCAATTCTGTAATGGCTGTTGATGACAAGTCCAGCTCAATTAATGATTCTAATTTCCCAATGGAGTCTGGAAGCTCTTTTAATTTGTAGTCCCTTAGTGACAAGCGTCGCAAGTTCACTAGCGAACCAATCGAGTCTGGTAGTTTAGTGATACCAGATGAACCATCAAATGTAAGGTCCAACAAAGATGTTAGGTGACCGATTGAGGTCGAAATTTGAGTCAATGACTTACAACGAGTGGCACTGAGAGTTTCAAGCTTCTTCATAACTCCTCTACCAACAGGGACTTCTTCTATACGAGTACCATCGATAAGGAGTTCTGTTAAAGCTTCCACTTCATCAAATTCCCGAGGCAGACTTTTGAGTTTAGCACAATTCTTCATATTTAAGAAAACCAGACTGTTGAGTTTCCTAATTGATGGGTCAATATGTTCCAAAACCTCAGAGTCTTCAAGAATCAATCTCTCTAAAGTTGTATATGCAGAGAAGTCAGGAGTGCTAACCATTTTTTTGCAACATGTGATATTTAGAACTTTCAACTTTGTTGCAATCTGCAAAATAAGGAAAAAGAGAATTACATAGAATTATGTGATGAGATAAAGGAAACAAAAAGCAGAGAAATTGATGAAACCTTGATATAATTCCAACCCTCCCAGTCTTGTGTGACCTTGCTCCATGATAAATCAAGAATGACCAGATTCTTTAGATAAAAATTGGTTGGGCTAAAAATTTCAGGGCATCCTTTCCAGCAAAGCCATCTCAAATTTAAAAGAAGACCCTTAAAATCTCCATCCAGCTTTGCGAAGTTCATTTGAAGGAACCTTAGATTAGGTTGGTTTGCAAATTCTTCATTTGTAAGACAGAGAGCTTCAACAGTGACTCTGATTTTACGTTAAGACAGATAGCTTTAACCTTTTTTGTTCCCTGCCAAAAGAGAACTTTAAGATAAGTTGATAATTAGGGGGAATGATCTGCAAAAGTTGAGAATTTGGGAGGTAATCTATCATAAAGTGATAATTAGGGGGAATGAAGTTTAACATTAATAATGAGATGAAACCTATATCAGGATGCTCAATAATTTATGTCCTTGAAAACAATGGTTTGGGTACAACCATAAGTGGCATTTGCAGGCTATAGGTTTTTAATGGCCGACTTGTTGAGCAGGAGTGGCTCAATATAAGCTGAGGCTAAGGCAATACAAGAGAATATTCATATAGTAATATAATTAATATTAATTAACTTTCTACATTAAAAAAAAAAATTAGATATATATATATATATAATATTGGTCTTGCTTCTTGAGATGCAAAATTATAAATTTTTGTTAGAAATCTTGGTTATTTATTTACTAAATTTTCTTCATTTTTTTTTTTTTTTTTTGGTAATATTTTGTTTATCATTACAAGAGCTCCTTTTAAAATAAATATAAAAACAAAAATGGATTTAATTTACCCAACCCCTTCTTTTTTCCTTTTAGAAATTTTTACTAATCCTAATTCACATTTTTAAATAAAACGTATTTATAGATTAAAAAAAAAAAAAGGTAAATTAAAGAACAATAGAACTGATCTTATGCAAGATTTATTGAAAGTGTTTTAATTATAAAAATGTAAGATTTATTGAAAGTGTTTTAATTATAAAAATGTAAGATTTTCTCCCCTTGAAATTAAACATAAAGATAATTAACTAATCTACTTGATAATATAAACATTACGAATTTAGAAGAATATGAAAAGGTGGAGTTGATAGACATAACTGAAAACGTGTGAGAGGAGAAATTGCTGGAGATTCTTGACATTAAAAATCCTAAAATAGGCCAAGTAGAAAGAGAATGTGTAAAGGCCTGCTTTTGAGTAGCTCATAGCTCATACATAATTGTATTAGTAAGGTGACAAGAAAATTAATGTGTAACAAGGACATCAGGAAGGAGTTGGATCTTACTGCATGCCTCTCCAATGGGGCGATGGCTTCCTCATGAAACCACACCCTACTACGCTTCCCCGGCTCTTCAACATTTTCTTGACGAACAATATCTCTACCAAGGTCTCTAAGCTGGTCGTGCATCCTTAGCTCATTATTATCTCCAATTTTTACCAAGGACATGTTAATAAGGACTTCAATCCCAATTTCCGGATAAAATTTGCAGTCATCCCACATGTGAAAAGCAATTCTTCCATCCACTCCAATTAAGAAACATGCAATATCGAGAAATATAGGTTGCTGATCATATTCTAATGCATCATAACTTATTTTCAGCTTGTCCTGCACATGTTTGATCGGTATTACTTCCAGCTTCTTTAATGTACCTTTCCATACCTCTTTTCCCTTGCCAGATAAAAAAGAACCAATAATCTCAAGAGTCAAAGACAACCCTCTAGTAGTGGACACAACATCTTTAGCGAGATTATACTAGTCTTCTGGGGGATGGTCCCTTCTAAAAGCATACCTGCTGAAAAGTAGAAAAGATTGAGTAGCACCCAATTCCTTTGGTTCTAAGTCCTACAATCTTCAAGCAGATTTAGGATCTCTTTGTTTCTAGTTGTGACAATTATCCTACTTCCCGAACCAAACCAATCACACTTTCCCACAAGTGCAAGTGCATGAAGCTGATCTCTGTGATCGGCATCATCAACGACAACAAGAACTTTCTTCCCAGAAAATCTATCTTTGATTGCATTAATTCCGTCATCCTTATTACTAATTAAGTCAGGGCGTCTCAGTTTTAAGATGTCAGATATAAGTTGCTTTTGCAAATGAACAAGACCATTCTGTTGTTGTGTTGTTGCTCTAACATCTTCAAGGAGGCAGCAATGGGGTTGAAAATGTTGGGAGAGTTGGTTGTAGATGACCTTGGCAATAGTGGTCTTGCCGATTCCTCCCATGCCATGGATTCCCACAATCCTTACATCACTGGTAAACAATTTCATCAATTTTTCTACATGATCATCAATTCCAACTAAGCAGTCAGTTACAACCAATGAGTTTCTTTTCAACTCTCTCAATGCCTCTAAAACAACCTCCTTTACCAGTTCTCCTTTATGCCTGCCAAACATAATTGATGTCACATATATCTATCTATGGGAAAAACGATAAGTATTTATATGGCCTATTCTGATAAAACGGAAAAATAGAAAGTAGTTTCAAATTTCATTTGATTAGCAATTTGTTAAAAACTGTTGTTTGGTTAAACTAGTGTCTAATTCTAGGGTTTACTTTAGATACCAAAATAAATAAATTAAAAATTAAAAATTATAGTGACAAATTTGAGATTGATTAATCAAACAAGCTCATAGTTGGTTCTAATGAGGAAAAGTTGTGTAAAATAATCATAAAAGTTCAAAGGTAGAGCAGAAGCAGTAAATAACACAATTACCTATCAATAACTTCCCAACCCTTCAAATCTGCAACCTCCGTCAAGGCTTTCTTCCATCCCTCCACAGTAAGACTATCATATTTTTTCTTGTGTTCCTGGAAGGCCTTTTCGTAACTCCCCCTTTGGTGTCGCACATCGGATGGTTTGACATCGTAGAAAATGGGTTTTATGGTCCGCTTATGATAAGTGCTTAAATGTTGCACATTTCAGCACCTAAGGTAGGGTATTTCAGTCTTTGCATCTATCTTAATTTCATGTTTTAGTCCTAATTTATGTTTATGTGTATTTCAGGGCAATAAAGTTAAAATGAGCTAAGAACGGTCCATTAAAGCCTTTTTGGAGTCAAGCAAAGATATTCAGAAAAAGTTCAGAAAATAATAAGAAGAGGTCGTAGCCCATTGCTCGTATAGTGTGTTTATTCTTCGAAAGCGGTCAATCTCGGGCCTTTGATGATGTTCCCAAAGATGAAGAAGCAAACCAATTAGCCCGAGGTCAAAATGGAGCTAAATAAGGCTTAAAGGAAATTTCCAACTCTGGGGGGATCGATCCCCTAGGACTTGGCAACACTACAGATTTTTTTTTATTGTTTGGGCATATTTTGTGAACTATTGGGCTTTAATAGAGTTGTTACTTAAGGCCCAGTGAGCCATTAGATTAGGATTAATATTTATTTTATTTAGGTGAATATTATTAGAATTATTAAGTTTTATTTTTTTTTTCTGTACCGTGATATTACGTTCTCTCTTGGGGGGGGGGGGGAAGGAAAAGCAAGGGTTTGAAGAACTTTTTACAGAGGCTTTGTCTACAATAGAAGGAAGAAGAAGAAGGAGCCAAAAGATGGAGATGGAGCTTAATGATACCATGATCATCTTCTCCATAAGCTAGTTCTTCACTTAGGGCTTGGATGAGCCCTAAGTTCATGTAACCTAAACCTTTGTTTTTCTTTTCTTGGGGAATTATTAAGTTGTAATTAAATATTTGGCCTTGTGATTTCTTTATATATACATGCTTGATTTGACAAATTAGGGCTTGTATTGATAAATTCTTCCATTGAAATCTCTAATTGATTGTATGTCTATATATGATTAATTAGGGATTTTACTCTTCATTAGTTGATTGAAAATTAATTCTTCCATTGATTCTATATGAAAATTGCATGTTTATGTGTGATTGATTTAGAATTATACTCTACACTAGATACTTCTTTTAGTTGTGTTTAGTGATGGCCATAGCATGATACTTAGTTGATACAATTGTCAATTAATTTGATGGAATAAAGCTTAATCTTGATGGGTTGTTCTACAAATTAGCTTATTGTCATTAGTTAATTGTAGTAAAGTAGGCAATTTACTTGATTATGTTAATCCATACTTCTAATTACAATTAGTATTATCCTCTTGATTGATGTGTGCTCTTATCAGATACATTTGTGAATGTGTTTGGTGGGTTATGACGTAGTCTTGAATGGGTTCTACACTTTAGTTTAATTGTCATTAGGTAGACAATTCATTCTTGATGTTGATAATCTATGCTTACAATTGTGATTTGTGATGATAATGTAACCACATCTATAATTACACTAATGAATTCCCCATTAATTGAAAGCATATGGTTAATTGCATGGGCTTAGTGGTGAATCCTAACCCTAAGACTCTCTTTATATCTCTTTAATTCTTAGTTTAATTTAATTTAATTTACTTGCATTGTCATTTCTATTTCCATGCTTTCGATTTAACTCTAGTTTAATCACTTCCCCAAAATTCTTTTTCTCTCTCTCTATCCTCTCTCTCTCTCTATCTCTTGTGTAATCTCATTAGCACTAAAATCAAGTTTAATCCCAACACGTATTTAATCTCTTGGGTTCGATCCCTTCTCGCTTCATACTACATAGTATAAGTGTCTAGCGGTTTATAAATTATAAAATATGATGCCCACTTGACATTAATTCTAAACCTAAAGTGTTGTGCATTATTTTGTACACACGCTCGGGTCGCATCATAATTTTAGCGCCGTTGCCAGGGATTGACGGTTTAGTTGGAATTAAATTAGGCATTAGTGTTAATTTGATTGTTTTCTTTAAATTACTATTTTCTTACAAATCCCTCTTGTTCAATTAGGTACTTGAAAAGAAGAGGAGCAAGGATTGGATCTTGGCACCATTGTGACATTGTTGCTACGGATTTTCGTGAGCTTCCTTGAATTTCTTTTACTATAATTGTTCAATTCTTTACATGCTTGCGAGATAGCCCTTGTTGAGGTTATCACATTGTTTAAATTCTTGTCTAAGCATAAGCCGAAAAGGAGGCTATTACTTTCTTGATAGAAAGCATTTGCCCGTGTGGAGGCAATTTAATTTTGTGCATTGATATAACATGGGAGTATGGGAACATCGTATGTGGAGGTGGTGAATTGTTGTTGATTGTTGTTGTGGTTTGTTATTTCTAGGATAATTCTTCCCATTCTTGACTATCCCACAATTAATGGGAAACCATTTCTAGGATATAGGGCATATGGATAATCTAGGTGTGTATCATCCTCTTAGTGGGTATCCACCTCAAGGTGTGCATCCACCCTTGGGAATTTCTCGTCCTAATGTGTTTCCACAACCCAATTAAGTGCAACAACCTCCAATAATACCAATCCATCCTCAAGATCATGTAGTGTATCCCCCCAATTCTCAATTATCTCTTCGGGATCACTACACTCCCAATGAATATAATACACAAACATGCATCCGGTTGCCAAACTTTCAGGCAACCCATTATGAAATCTAGCCCGCAACCATCCAAATATGCCCTATTTTCTATGGGGTGAGCAATGAAAAACCACATAAACATGTGGATGAGTTTTTGGAAGTTTGTTCAACCGTAAAAATCACGGATCTTCCGGAAGAAGTCTTAAAAATGAAACTTTTCCCTTTCACTCTTCGGGAAAAGACTAAATATTGGTTCAATAACTTGAGGGCAAATTCAATCACATCTTGGGCTCAACTACAATATGAATTCCTAAAAAAATTTTACCCCTCAAGTAGAACCGATGTTATGAAAGCATCTATCCGTGAATTCTCCCAAAGAGAGGGAGAACCTTTGCATGAAGCATGGGAGCGTTTGAACAATTTGCTACGGAAGTGTCCACATCACGACATTTCAAAGTGGCAATTAGTTCGCTGTTTCTATGAAAGCTTATCCAATACCCAAAAAGGTATGGTTGATGCTTCATGTGGAGGAGCCTATTTGGACAAAAATGAAGACGATGTGTGGCATCTTTTTGATCGCATGAGCGAAAATTCAATGCATCGTTCTTCATCGTCCCGATTGGGCCAAAATTTGAATGGAGGAGGGCAGAAAACCTCCAATCTTTCTCAAATAAATACTTCCATGGAAATTGCCGCCGAGGTCAAAATTCTTACTCAAAGGTTTGATAAATTCATTGCGGCGACCTTAGTGAATGAGAAGAGAGTGATTAATGTGGAAGTTGACAAAAAGGATGAAGAGATTGAGTTTCATAATAATCCTATTGTGTTTTTTAAAGACACCACCTTGCCAAATACTAATGGAAGCAATTCTTCAAATATGCTTCAAGAGCACCCCAAGGTTGCAAGGCCTACTAATGTTTGTTTTGTGTTCTAGACCGTGGATGAAAGGAAACAAATCGCAACTTTCATTATTCATTTTCAAATCATTCTTTTGGGAGATGCATTTATTGTTGTGAGAGAAGATTCATTGGGGAAAATAGATAAACGGATCAATGAGGATGTGTCATATCCGATTTTTGATTCTTTTGACTAGTGAATCGCCCCAACGTCTTGCTAGAGGCGTTAAATACTAGTTGTATCGATTTTTCCTTCGTTGCACGTTAATTTACATTTTATTATTATTTTATTTTATTTTTTTCTTTTTCCTTTTGTACATTTATGCATTTTTAAATTTAAAAAAAAAAAAAAAAAGATAAAAACAAAACAAAACAAAAAAAAATAAAATTGTTGTGATAGATAGTGTAGGTTGTTGTTTTATTATTATTGTTATTATTATTCTTATTTTTATTTTTATTATTCTTATATATATTTCATGTTAGTTTTGCTTTCTTCAAAAACATAAAAAAATTAAATAAAAAAAAAATAGTACTAGTTCATATAGGTTGCTTTGTGATTTTATTTCAATTTTATTTATTATTATTATTTTTATTTTATTTTAGTGTATATTGTATTTTTAGTTTTGCTTAAAAAAAATAAATAAAAAAAAAAACACAAACGATCCCCAAAATAGGTGGGAGATCGATCCCATTTGTCTGGTAGAGACTTAACCCAAAAAAAAAAAAAAAAAAAAAAAAAAAAAAAAAAAAGAGGCTCATGGGGATCAATTCCCAACGACTTTCTCATATTACACAGTGAAGGGGAATTTTTTTTTTTTTTTTTTTTTTGTATAAAATTGTCAATCCCTTGCTTAGGGTGATCGAGCCCCTCTGCCCTTACCATCTCTCTCTCTCTCCTCCATTCACTACCCAACCCTCAAATCTCTTAACCCAAATCCACACTCCCAATTTCTTGGTTCCCCCTCACTGTTCGTTCCTCTCTCCTGCGGTGTTGAAGGGGACAAATTCCGGCGCCATCTTTGGCTGACGGTTCGAGTTCGCCCTTTGGGTTTCGGTAACAGCCATCATTGACTGAATTGAGTACAATTA